CGCTACTCAGAAGGCTGAGGCAGAAGGATCGCCGGAGCCCAGTAGGTCAAGGCTGCGGTGGCCGGGAGCAGCCACTGCACTCCAGTCTGGGTGACAGAGTGAGACTCCAACTCAAAATAAAAAATAAATAAATAAATAAATAATAAAAAAAGGTTTTCTACAGCTCTCCAAGTGAAGCATTTAGGTGTACTTTCATTTATTTACACATCTGGGAAGATAGCCCTTTTCTGAATGTGTATTCAACTTATTCCATGAACAGAACAGCACTTCTTAACCCAGCTCCAGGAGCTTGGAATATTATCTTTAACCCCTGCCCGGATGGTCTTTGGAGAAAGAATTGCTTCTCATGATGACAGGTATGAAAGGCTGTTTTCCTTCCTAAGGTGGGAGTGGGGTGGGAGGAACCAGCCACCTGCCTTACTGGACAGATCCATACTATATTAAAGGACCCACTTGACTTGGGTTTGAGCATTTTAATATTTATGGTCATTAAGGTGATAAGTTCAATAGTCTTTGCTGTATGATTTTAGGAACATTATAAAAGAAGCTATTAAGAAGTTTTGTTTTTTTAATAAAACATGGCTGAAAATACGTTTGAGTAAAAGCAGATAATTGTTGTCTTTTGTTGGTGCATGCTGAAAGTAATGTTTGTCTCATTGTGGCAGCCCCAAAAGAGGTTTTTCACATATTATTTATCCTAGTATATTTTTGGCCAGTTATTTAGTCTTTCATTATAATACCTGGGCTCTTAGTGTTTCTTCTACATAATAGAAGATGTCTCAGCTGACCCTAGTGTGCATTTCTTATGTTGATATGTCACTCAGAAAGCAGGTGCTAGTGCCTCTGGGTCACAAAGATTTAGGCTGCACCTTTTAAAATTTTTTTTGTAAAAAACTTTACTGAGCACTAGTCAAATCTGATAGGCTGAGCTGTTCTGGGGACATGCATGATGCAGATGCACCTCCTGCACTAGGGAGTTTGTGGTCTAAAGGAGACGACACACACACACAAGTAACAGGGGACTTTTGCTGTGGTTTAGTGAGAGAAGGCTCCCCAACTTAACCAGTGGAAATGGGGCCAGTTGTTAGAGCCCTCCTTGCGGTATGAAGTTACTACCAAGTCTCCTAGTACTTGAGAATCCAAGTGGCAGCTGCTTATTCTTTTCTCTCCTGTGTTTACCGTGTTTATTTTTATCTGGCTTATAGCACTTACAGCCCCTCCCTGTTGTTTTTGCCTCAGTGTTTCACCAAAATATTCCCCTTGTTGAAAATAGTGTTTAGCTTGTGACCCAAGCTAGTAAATGTTAGTCAAATGAGTAAGAGGCAAAAAAAGGGCCTTGAGGAGTGAGGAGGTTTGAGTCCACATCTGATATTCATTCACCGGACGGGCCCTATCATTGATAGTCTCTTTCCCTGCACCAGGCAGAAATGAGAAACCAGATCTGATAGGGGAGAATCAGAAGTGACATGGAAGAGCTGCAAGAGGGCAGCACGTGTGGTGATGGGTATGGGTGAAAAGTCCTGAAGGCCTATATGGAAGGGCACCTCTTGTTCAGCCTTATGACATGGGCAGGGGCCCTGGAGGCTCAGGCTGTTTCACTGCAGCTTTGTTCTCACACCAGCAGGTCTTGAACCCATGCACAAGGGATTTTTTTTTTTGATTTGAAGTCTGGAGTGCAGTGGCACACTCAGGGCCACCTTAGCCTCTACCTGCTGGATGCGGCCATCCTTCCACCTCAGCCTTTCAAGTAGCTGGAACTACAGATGCATGCCACCATGCCCACTAGTTTTTGTGTGTGTTTGTGTGATTTTATTGTAGAGATGAGATCTCACCAAGGTGACCAGGCTGGTCTCGACCTCCCAGACTCAGGCAATCCTCTCACCCCAGCCTCCCAAAGTGCTGGGATTGCAGGCTGAGCCACTGTACCTGGCCCACAACAGGTTTTTAGAGGACATGAATGCGTGTCATAATTCATAGTACATGCACTCAGAAGCCTTACTACCTTATTTTTTATTAATATTTCTAGGCAAACCTCACCACTTACAAAGTTTAGAAAGTTTATAAAATGTTCTTTAATAAAATCTGAGAACTAAATCATATTAGCTTTCCAAGGTTTTCTAAGGTCTCTGAAACTAATGGGGTGGTGATGGTTGTGGTGGTGGTTGTTTTAAAAGTCAGGTTCTCTCTCTGTCACCTAGGCTGAAGTGCAGTGGCATGATCACAGCTCACCGCAGCCTCCAATTCCTGAGCTCAAGCAGTCCATCTGCCTCAACCACTCAAGGCACATACCACTCCACTCAGCTAATTTTTAAATTTTTTTTTTGTAATGATGAGGTCTCACCATGTTGCCCAGGCTGGTCTTGAATTCCTGGACTCAAGCAGTTCTTCTCCCAAATTGCTGGAATTATAGGCAGGAACCATCACACCCAGCTGTTTTTTTAAATCCCCTTGAAGTACTCACTACTGCTAATAAAAGCAATTGTTTGCAGCTTTAATTCCAATAATTCTCTTAATTTATTTTTATTGTCTTTACATTTCCTTAGACAAATGCAGTTATCCTGACTTGAGGGATAAAATCCACATTATCTTCACAAATCTCTTAGTAAGAGTGTGTGAACGTAATCTTCAGCAGTGAAATAGAATTCTGCTTTACTGTTTAATTCTTCCCCTTTTTCATCACTGTACATCATTTCATAATTTCCATTTGAATGAATCTGTAAGCTACGCTAAACAAAATGGCAATTCTAGATATGCCTTCTCAAACCAGAGCAAATTTTTTTTTTTTTTTTTTTTTTGAGTTGGAGTCTCACTCCGTTGCCCAGACTGGAGTGCAGTGGCCGCTTCCGGCCACCGCAGCCTCGACCTGCTGGGCTCCGGCAATCCTTCCGCCTCAGCCTTCCAAGTAGCTAGAACTACAGGCGTGCACTACCACACCCAGCTAATTTTTGATTTATTGTAGAGATGAGGTCTCGCCAAGTTGGCCAGGTGGGTCTCGAACCCACGGGCTCAGGCAATCCACTCACCTCAGCCTCCCAAAGTGCGGGATTACAGGCTGAGCCACCGAGCCTGGCGCAAAATTTTTAAAAAGAAATAAGAATTGCAAGACTGACTGTACCAAGCAGCTAATTTTAGAGCCAAAATACTGTAGCTTTGTAACTAAAAACTGAATACTGTGGTGATTTCACAAGCTTGTCAACTCTAATTCATTCTCTGCTCTGGTCCTCATGCCTCTTTTTTTTTTTTTTTTTTGAGTCAGGGTCTTGTTCTGTCACCCAGACTGGAGTGTGCAGTGGCACGATCACATCTCACTGCAGACTCAAACTCTCCTGGACTAAAGTGATCTTCCCCCCTCAGCCTCTCAAGTAGCTGGGACTACAGGCATGTGCCACCTTGCCTGGCTAATTTTTATATTTTGTGTAGAGATGGGGTCTTGCTATGTTGCCCAGGCTGGTCTCGAATTCCTGGCTTAAAGCAGTCTTCCTGCCTCAGCCTCCCAAAGTGCTGGGATTATAGGCATGAGCTACCATGTCCGGCCCTGGCCCTCAAACATTCTTAATTCTTATAGTTGTTTATTGATAGAACAACTTCTGTATATACATTATAGAGGAGATCATTTGAAAAAAGAATTAGATCGTATGAAAAACAGTTCTTTTCTAATCACACCAATAATATCAGAGATGTTCACCATTTCAGATTGCTCTTCAGTTGACTGGGGCTTAACTTTTCTGCTGCCTAGCCTTGGTTAAATACTTTGACGATTTTCCTACAAAGGGGAAATCCTTTTCTTATAACACGACTTCTCTTAAACCAGGGATGCCTGTTGCTCATTTTAAACTCTCTTATATTGCCATAGGTTTCTACTACACTTAGCGGACAAAACTGGTGGCATAATTGTAACCAATGATAACTTCAGAGAATTTGTGACTGAGTCAGTCTCTTGGAGAGAAATTATTACAAAAAGGTAATTCTTCTTTGTCTTTGGCAGAAAAGTTCTTTTTTTTATTGTTTGTGTTTGCATTTTGTTTGTTTTTTGTATATCTTGACCCTGTAGAAATAGAAACCAAAGTATCATAAGACTTTGCTGTACTCCCAGTCCACAGAGGGTTAGCTTTGCTAGGTAAATGGAAGGACCCAGCACAAAGCAGCAGAGTCAGTAATAAGTGTGGGCATGCTCTGTGTTCCCATTGAGGGGTCATTGTTTTCTTGCATGAAACAGGAGGCACAGTGAACCGTGTTGGAGCACAAATGGCCTACCTGTTTTACTCAGCTGTGATGAAAGGTTGTATTCAAGGCAGTTGAGATTCTAGTTTGTGATTCCAGCAAGAGGGGAGGACCAAAAGCAATGTGCTGATTGGGTTTCCACTTCTTGGCAGCAAGAGAGATTATTTCTACTTTATAATATCTGATGCTTTTCTTGAGCTTTTTACGTAGTTGAATCATCTCTAATTGAAAACATCTTTAGATGTCATCCAGACAAACAAAATCAAGAGTTTAGCGTTCACTGCCGTTTTTTTGTGATGATACTGTGAATGTGTCCAGCTGCTAAAACTGCCTTAAGATCAGTGAACACTGGCTACCAGGACTTTTTGTTAACAAGCATAACCTGGCCTGTTATTTAAAACAAAAAGCAAGAGTCTGTAGTGGCACCAGTGATAAGTCACATATGCCATAAATCTTTGAACATGGAGTGAATGTGCCTTACACCAAGTATAATTATATACCGCTCTCCTAATGTATAGTCATAGTATTTATATTTTGCTAAGTTATTAGAGGGTTTTAGAAAAAGTTCCTTTGCTATATATAAATGCCCAGGTGAGAGTCAATTACTATATGCATTTTGATCCACATGGCTGTTAAAAATCTGTTGTTGATAGCTGAACCAAGAATTGGTCTTTGACCTTCTGGGCACGATTAATGAGCCCATACTCTTCAAAGGCATGTTTCTGTTGGATTATTGACCTAGGCTCATTGTCAGTATTTATTAAACATTCATCTGTGTATGCATGGAGGGTTTAAGTGCAGTCAAGCCTGGTTTTCTCAAACCAGTCTGTTGCTTTCAGAATTCACAAAAGCAAGGCAGAAATAAGACCTGGACAACAAGTATGGGCACTTGGCTTTTTTTTTTTTTTTTTTTTTTGGTGTTTTCCCTCAACTTGATATATAATGTTCTACTGACATCACATTTTCTTTCTTCATATGTCATATTGTTTTCCTTTTTTTAAAAGGTTATTTGCCCAGTGGGTTTGCTTATGGACACATTTATTACCAGTTTTATTAAAAAATTAAATCTTGTTGAATATCTACTGTGTCCTAAGCTGACAATCTTCAAATCTTATTTTTCAAAGTTATATTGCAAATTATATTGGGTGAAGAAGCTGCTTCCCAAGCCCAGATAAAAATCTGAAAGTCTCAATAAGAAATTTGGGGCCAACTGATAAAATTTTCTTACTCTGTATTTGTGCCCAAAACAGAGAAATTAAAATGGTTTAACCTGGATGCTTCCCCTCCTCGAGGCAGTTAAGCAGTCCTAGAATATGTAGGTGGCCTGACCATGGCTTTGGAGTTGGGTGGCTACTTGTTAATTTCTGTGGCAATTAAGACGGTGTTTTCTCCAGCATTGTAATTATTGTCTGTATTGTAGATTACTTCAGTATACATTTGTGGGGGACATATTTATGGTTCCTGATGATCCTCTGGGAAGAAGCGGACCTCGATTAGAAGAATTTCTTCAGAAGGAAGTTTTTCTTAGGTATTTCCTTTTTCAGATTGTCTTATATTTAAAGTTGTTTGTGCTATAATGCAGGTGCTGCCTTTGAAGACTACAAATGGCATTTTAATTTTTTTTAAGAGCCTTAGATTTAATGCTGCTCTAATGTATGTGGAAGCTAATCAAGAAGGCATTGCAGAGTTTTAATTGTGTTTTAATCCCAAGACAGGATGGGAAGCCAAACTTTTTGTGGGTCCAAAAAGACAAAGCAGATTTTCCAAGCTGGTTGTCACTTATTAGTGAACTCCACTTAGGTTCATTATGTATGTGTGAGAATTCTACCACTGAGCCACCAGTGCTTGATGGGTTCATTTTGTGGGCCTTTTTACATACATCTTCTAAAGTCATTTCCTTTGAATATGTTATGTTTGTATTAATTTACTATTCACGAATCTCTACCTGGAGGAACTGGCAATCACTTTCTACCTTCACTAAATGGAAGAGCCAGTATTTCATATTTATCTGACTTGATAGTTTAGGTTGTCTTTGCTATACTTTATTTGTTGGTTTGTTTGTTTTCAAGGCATCTTGCTAGTAGTTTCTGTTTTCAGAATTCTCAGGTAACAGACATTGTTAACTAAAGTTTCCTACGTACCTGACCAGCAGATAATATAACCCAGTGGCTGGCCTTTTCCCTTTTTTAAAGACTATAGGCTACACGTGTGTTTTGTGCATTTCCTAGCAGATATTTGCTGGGGGATGTGATGGGGGTCTAAACTGAGATGAAGAAACACAGCTCTCCTAGTTTTTTTAGGCAGTGAAACTTTCTAGCTGATCTTTTTCATGTGTAACAGGAGTCTTCAAGGGTTCTGGGTTTGCATTCAATGTGGGTGGTGGTGGGGTCTTTTTCACAGAGGTCTCTTCTGCCCAGGAGTCCACCATAATTTCAGCTACCCAATCTTGTGAATTAGTTCTCTTTTGAGCTTTTGGGTTTATTATGCAGATGAAGACTGAGTTCCCAAACATCATGCTTCTCTACTCATACCAATGGAATGGCAGCCATTTTTAATGCCTGCTGCACATCATTCTTTCTCATTTTCTTTCCTCACTGGACTTTAGGGCCCCAGGACCTGTGAGCATCAGATCCATGGGTAGGACTTACCTAAAAGAGTGTTCTCTGCTTCCCCCCACTCTTTGAGCAACCTGGCAGCAGGGTCAGTTCTGCTTACCCTTTTCCCTCTCACCTAATATTGGCTCTTTACAGAGGTGTTCACTAATTGGTCAAGGAGTTAGTAATTGCTTTCCTCACAGAGGTACTAACTTTTGAAGTTGGGAAAACTTCAGCCAGCTTAATTTATCCACTGCAAGCCAGAGTAGGTGGGGGGCTTTTGAATAATACAGATACCCTCCCCGTTCGCTTACACTGGCCCATGTGCATGCAAGTTGTGGACACCAGTGTCTCACTCAGACTTTGAGTCAGTGGGGCAGCCTCTCTGCCTTATCTTCTGACAGCTCCCAGGTGCACCCTGGTTTAGAGCCAGGCAGCTGGATGGGGTCAGTCCTCACAGCAGCAGACCTGGGAGGGTGGTGCCACCTCGTGAAGAGTCCTCACCCTCTGTCCCGATCAGTCTGGAGGTAGTATCATGGAATCCCTACAGGCCCTTCTGTGGGCAGCTGGCATCATCACCTCTACTGCAGTCTTACTTCTGGCCTCTGTAAACCAGGCCAGCAGCAGGTATTTTAGAAGAATTTCTTACTTATAACCTGACTCACCAGGACTCGTTTCCATTCACAGAGATATGCAGTCCCTACTTGGAGCCCTGCCAAATGTGGGTATGTTTGACCCCAGCTTCAGAGGCCCTGGCACACAGGCAGCCAGCACCAGCCACCAGCCTCCAACCCGGATTCAGGGAGCCCCTCCAAGCCACTGGCTTCCTCCTCAGCAGCCCCACTTCCCACTCATGCCGAACCTTCCCAATATCCAGCAGAATCTGCCTATGCCAGCACAGAGATCTTCTGCAGAAACCAACGAGCTGAGGGAAGCCCTTCTGAAGATCTTCCCTGACTCAGAGCAAAGACTGAAGATTGACCAGATCTTGGCGGCCCATCCGTACATGAAAGATCTGAATGCACTCTCTGCCATGGTGTTGGACTGAAGATTGTGCTGAGCATCTTGAGCTCAGGGCCATCTGATCAAACTCAAGCTCATGCCTGATGGGAACTAATATAATGTGAAGAAGCCTCTTTACCAGTGTAAACGCTCTTGTATAGAAAAAAAAAAAGTTTTGTGTATAAAAAAAATCTGGGTTTTCAAAACCAGCTTTTTTCTATATATGAATTATGCTGCTATTACAGATTTAACATTTTCTGTAAAAGGAAAGTCTACATTTTCTGCCTGTTCAGAACTGTTTAATAGCAGTTACTCTTGAGTGTATTTACATTTTTATGTTTTTTAAACTATTTTCCTTAAAGCTGAAAATAATGACAAATGGATATGGTTAGCCTTTCTAAATAAAAAGAGTTGCTTTCTTAAGGAAAGCAAGACCTCTTAAAGTATATTTTCTTGAGATGAGTATGTCACATCCACTAACATGAAGTATGTGCACCCTTCCTGCCCCTGCCTCACCCCTGGACTCGAGTCCAGAGGAGTTGGTTTGCTTCTGCAGTGTCTTTGGTTGGAGCCATTTGTGAGAGTGGACCCATGGTGCCACTAGATGGCACTTTGTGCCTAGCTGTTATGAATGACCAGGGCTGAGTTAGACTCATAGAATACCAGGGCTAGAAGAATCTTGGAGCTCATGCAGACTCACCCTTCTTCCCCTTCCATGCTACAGAAGAGGGAGCTCAGGCCCAGAGTGCTCACCGTCTAGACTTGCCCATGGCCACAGCCATGGAGTGACCAGGCAGGGACCAGATTCCTTGGCCAGGGCTCTGGCATACTCAGATACCTGACTTGACTCTGGAAGTCACTTCTTAGCCTCTGACGACTATAGCTGAAGAAGTTTAATGAAGAACCCTGTTATTGTAGCCATCTTTTGTCCATAATTAGGAAATACCCCGATGTGGAGTTTGTACAGCTTTGCCAAAAAACAGTTTTTTATTCTCAAGAATGACCCAAGCCAATAAATAGCATTAATAGCTTCTGTAAGGGTCCCAGAGCCCCTGTATTTATTTTTCTGTGTTTGTCTCTTTAATGTCCTCTTAAACAGTCTTTCCTGTGAGTCTTTCTCAGAATTGCTGTCTCGGTGTTGTCTGTTTTCAGTGTTACCCAGATTCTTTGTCAGTGAAGTTCCTTTCCTGGATAATTCCTAACCTCTTTATTATTATCTGGACCTTCAAAGGGCTGTGTATTTTATACCTGTGCTCTCCCCAGGCTGCTCATGGTCAGTTTTCTCTCAGCTCTTTGAATCATGTCTGTTTCCTGGTCCCCAAGGCTGTCGGCTAAGAACTCAGTGCTGGTTGTTCTTCATGGTGAAGGGACTGGGTGGCATCCCAGAGCATTCCGCCAGGCATTTTGCCTCTTGGTTTTTTTTGATCCCTGCATTTCTCTGGGTGAATCCAGAGCCCTCCAGGTGGCCAGACTTGTACTGCAGTCACGTTTTCTCTTGAATGTCTAGTGTGGAACTAATTGTCCACTGTTGCTTTGGGGAAGTTGCCAAGTCACCTAGCTGTGGAGGTAGAAGGCTTGAGGCAAGCCAGGAAGGTGACGTCAGTCATAACCCCTGTGCCTCATCTTTGTGGCTAGTTTTCAAAAGCACTGCAGAGGTAGGAGGACTGGCAGTGTCTCCTAATGACTCTGACATTCTGGTTCAAGGTTCAGTCCAGCAGCCTGGCCAGTCCAGTACTTCTCCTCTGTTTCGGACAAGAGACATAGGAGACTTGCCTCTAAGCTGAGGGGTCATGATTTTTCTAGGCTCTAGAAGTGACTTGACCCTTGACCTTTGAGTTCTTCATGTTGTTTCTGAGAGATCTACCTGCTCCTTTTCTTTTTCTCAGGTGTGGAAAGAAAGGATGCAGATAAGTAAGTAGGAGGAGTAAAGAAAAACATTATTTACCTTTATACATTATGACATGAAACCATCCGTGATTCTTCTGAAAGCCATCGGGTTAAGTTTAACCTGTTAAGTTTAATATTTTAAAAACCAAAATCATCAAACCATTCAAAAAGACCAGTTACCAGTTCTCAGCCTTCTCCTAAGCTTCACTAGACTCAGTGTTGCTGCTAAATACGCGTTTACAGCTGGTCTGCCTCTTGCAGCAGGTGTCTCAGCTGCTGCCCTGGATGTGTCGACAGTGATGCTTCCTTGTCTCATGACTCCTGTAGGCTCTTGTTTGTTGTGGATCTGCATGCCATGTTTCATGGCACTCATGTAAAATGGCTGGCAGGGTGCAGCATGTCACCCTCATTCGACAGATGGGGTGACTGATGCTCAGAGAGGTTGTCCAGGGTCAAAGAATAAGGAGCTGGTAGAACTGAATGATACCCAAGCCTACATTGTTTCCTAGACCCCAGGGAGAGAGAGAAAGACTCATCTGAGCGTTCTGGCAAATGGTCTGTGTTTGAGACCCTGTATGATGCCAGTCTGGAAAACAGTTAGAAGACATCTCAGCCATCTTGAATGATGGGTCTGCATTTTGGGGCATGATCGGCTGTGTTGCAGGGGACTTAGGCCCAGTGTAGCTTTTGATGGCAGTGAAAAAAGAGATGGCATCATGCTCATGTAGGCACGTGAGGCACTTGTGGACCGCTGAGGAGGATCCTGTGATCTACACACAGAACCCTCACTCCCCGTGATGCTCTCAGCCTCCTCCCCAGCCCCCTATCCCCCCGCCCCCTCCACCGCAGGGGCACTGGCTGCAGGTCCTGGGCCCACTGAAAGTCAGCCTTGGCTATCCTCCCTTCAGATTCTAACCTGCCTCCCACAGCTCAGCTGGCACCTGTCCCAGGAACCTCTTCCACCTCCACTTCTCATCAGTGCTTCCATGTTCTTCTCTCCGTTGTCCCAGAGCCTGCATCCTCACACTTCCTAGTCTGTTCTTCTGTTACTGACTCATCTCCATTTCCTCATTATCTACCTCCCCAGATCCCTCAGATTAATATAAAATAACCTGATTCCCTCTCCCCACCAAAATAATCTTGTTTGTTCATTGCTAATACTGTCCGTCAACTCCCGCTCTTACTTCCCAGTTTGCAAACTTGGTTTTCACCCCGCCAAGTAAAAGCAGACAAGGCCATAGGAGACTACCTTACTGCCAGATTTTAAGGCCTTTCTCAGTCCTCATCTTATGTGTACACTCAGCAACCACAGCATTCGAAGCCATTGACCTTGTTTTCAAGATTTCCCTCCCTCCTAGATGTTCTTCAGTTTTATCCCTTCCTTTACCTACAGGTCAGTCCTTAACATACTTTTTTTTTTCAGCAGGTGGTTCTCAAACTTTGGACAGCCTATGGAGCTTATGGTGGAGAAGGCAGCTCTTGTTAAAAACGTAGATTATTGACTTGACATGGTGGCTCCTGCCTGTAATCCCAGCACTTTGGGAGGCCAAGGTGGAAGGATTGTTTGGGGCCAGGAGTTTGAGACTTGCCTGGGTAACATGGCCCTGTCTCTTTTAAGATTTTAGAAAAGGTGCAGATCTTTGGGCACTGCCTCCTGAGATGCTTCTTCAGCAACTCTGGAGTCAAATCGGGAATCTGCGAATGTGCTGTACTCCCCACGTGATTCCCATGCAAGTGGTCCAAAGACTACATTTTGAGATACTGCATTCCCACTTAGGGGTACCACTCTTTCCCAACCCCACTGGGCCTCTTTGTAGTGACTTTTTTTTTGAGTTGGAGTCTCACTCTGTTGCCCAGGCTGGAGTGCCATGGCACACTCATGGTCACCCCAGCGTCAACCTGCTGGGCTCTGGCAATCCTTCCACCTCAGCCTTCCAAGTAGCCGGAACTACAGGTGCATACTACCATACCTGGCTAATTTTTTTATTTATTGTAAAGATGAGGTCTCGCCAAGTTGCCTGGGCTGAACTCGAACCCTCAGCCTCAGGCAAACCACTCGCCTTGGCCTCCCAAAGTGCTGGGATTACAGTCTGAGCTACCGAGCCTGGCCTGTAGTGACTTCTAATCCTGCCTCTAGCTCTGCCCTTCAGTGGTGCATTTCTTGCTCTTTCTGGAAGCCCCATGGAATCCTCAGACTCCCCAGACCCTCAGCCTCTACCCCCCACCACCACCCTCTGTGTGGTCCCCTGCTTTGCCTCATTCTCTGCTCACACTGCCCACTAATCACGTTCTCATAGGCTGCCCATGGGTGGTGGCCTGACCTGTCAGCCCACCTCAGCTCTCCCCTCTCCCCTCCAAACTCAATGCTGCCAGATTTATCTTCCAGAAACACAATTCTGCTCACCCCTCATCCTACTCAGTGATCTTCAATAGCTGTTTGATCAGAACATCAAATTCAGACCCCTTTGAACTTAGTGTCTGTGGCTGTCCATCTCCTGGCCAGATTGTCCACTTTGTATAGCCCTACCCAAGTGCTCCCTGCAACCACACATTTCCTCAGTTCCCTGTGGGTTCCTGCAGATGTGTGTCCCTCCTCTGCTAAAGATGCCCCTACCCCAAATGGCTTCCCTCTTCAGAGGCCCAGCCCGAGTCCTTCCTATACCCTTACCCAGTGCTTCTAGCCAGAAGCAGCCTGTGGTGTTCTGTGACCTCACCGCACTTTGTGTCTTGCTTTCAACATTGGCCACTCTGGCTGGCATCCTACCACTGGTTGTGTACTGTGTCTTACCTCCTTTCTAGACTGTGAGCTCCTCGCGGGCAGGGACTGTCTGTGTTCACTCTGTATTTCCTGTGGCACCTAGCACAGTGCCTTGCACTTGATAGGTGCTCAATAAATGTCTGCTCAAGTGAACTGAGAACAGTGCCTTCTTGACTATGGCATCAGGAGCAGAACCCAGTGAGGCCCAAATCCACTACCCTGTTGTGGTGGGCCTGAGAAGATTGGGGGAGGGTAGAGAGGCCTGAGAGGGTTGGGAGGCCTGGGTCCCTTCGTTCATTCCATTCTCCCCTGCAAGTCTCCAGCACACTGTCCTGGGCATCTGACACAGACTGAACCGATCAGTGTCCTCAGAATTCCTGGCCAGGGGCAGACCTCTGGCCCAAGCGACGCCAGTCACTTCTTTAGGATTTTCCCTTCCAATGGTGGGAAGCATGGGACGACATTCCCGGCTCTGTTAGAGGCCATTTTCTGCCATGGGAGAAGCAATCTATGGCAGGAAGGAAGCAGAAACATGAGAGATTTCTGACGGGAAAGCCCTTCCTCAGATGTCACTATGCCCAGTGTTCACACACTTCCCTTTTTGCTTAAGTTTCCTCAAGCTGGAGTCTTGAGTAAAACGTGTGACCATCCTTAGCAAGGACTTGCCAATTGAATAGAGAGGCTCATCTTATGATTAGAAAGACCCCAGAGACCTGTGCAAACAGGGCTTCTGAGGTGTCAGCCAGTCAGTAAATGGTGTAAGAGCTGGACAATTTCTGAGTAACTTGAAATCCACCCTTCAG